AACACTATATATATATATCTGTATAAAATAAATGTATATTAATCTCAACTTTTAAAAAATTAAAATTTTAATCTCAAATTATGTTGTTTATTAAAATTTAATTTAAAATTTTAAAAATATATTTTTTTATAGGGGTATAATTAACATACAAGTATATCTGTTATTTTCTTGATAGGGAAGGGTAAGTATATCTATAGATATCAATTATACTCCGTGAGAACGGAAAAAAACAATTATTCATCAATCATTCAAATTACAAGCTAACAACCCACATCAAAATAAAATAAAATAAAAACTTAGTTAAAGTGATACTCATTAATTAAAAAATATTAATAATTTAAAAGTTTAACACATGGAATATTAAGTAGCTAACACTTGCAACAACAAAAAAAAAAAAAAGCAACCCGCATCAAATCATTAAGAGGATGAAGCAAAAAGAGGGATTAACAAAGTCAAATTACACATTAAAAGAAAATAAATATAAAAATGAAATATAATTTGTTCAAACTGAGAGTCAAATTTAGTACCTAAGACTCCGAGTTCTGTACGTCAAGCCACTGCTTATCATTATCAAAAGAAGTAAAATTATTAAAAATTGGACTTGGTTGGAAAACAGTAGTTAGAAAACACGCTTCATGTTACCTAATATTTTTGATAGAAGCATGGAAATATTTATTAAGTAGTAGGATTGTGAGAAATGAGGATCTCTTATCTCTCTCCTTTCTTTTTTTTCTCCATGGCTGCCGCTCTGTTATTCCTTTTTTCTTCTTCTTCTTCTTCTTCTCCTCCTCCTCTAAATGTGACCTTTCTTTTTTTTTTCGGTGATTAGGGAGAATGAATAAAAATGAAAGTTTCTTTCTCTTTAAAAATTCTCTTTCTTTTGCGATAATTTCTTTCTTTTTATAGGGTTTTTGTCTAGTTCCTCTGTCTAGTTCTTCTATGACTTTTATTGAGTTTTACCTCAAATTAAAAAAAATGAGAATCTTCTTCTTCTTCTTTTTCTTCTCTAAATGTGACCTTTCTTTTTTTTCGGTGATTAGGAATAATGAATAAAAATGAAAGTTTCTTCCTCTTTAAAAATTCTTTTTCTTTGCAATAATTTCTTTTTTTTTATGAGGTTTATGTCTAGTTTCTCTGTCTAGTTCCTCAATGACTTTTATTGAATTTTATCTCAAATTAAAAAAAGATGAGAATGAGATAGTGACTCTTCACTAAATTAATTTAAAAATGACTTAGGTGGTCCGTGAAAGAGACTCCAACTCTTCTCTATACTATAGCAAATTTTCATTAAACACATAATACATAGGGACAATTGTTTGCTAGATTACATGCTGCTTTCTCCCTTGAAGTGTGGCATAACAGTTGGAAATGTCATTTTTCTTATTTTTGTAGCTTTATTTATGTCCCTATAGGCTATAGTGATTGCACAACAATTTTTAAGTGTAGGTTTAATTACTCATATCTGTCATGAATATAGTGTATGATTGTATTTAGTGATATAAGTAAACTTTTTAACGTTAGTAACCTAAATTAAAGATTCATATGTAATCTCTTTTTTACATTTAATATAATCTCTATTTCTTATAAAGAAAAAAGACTTTTAACAATTAAAGTATGAAAAATTACAATGGAAAGGCTTAGAAAATTTTAATAAATCAACACACAAAGAATATTTATTGTTTATTTCAACAATTTTAAAAGCAATCTTTAACATTTCAAATATCACAACATCCTAATTTTCACTACTTTTCTAAGTTATTACCAATAAACTTCCACAAAAGACTAAAATGAAAGGATTACACACACAGATGATTGCTGCTAACAGTAAATGCGCCATTGAAGCACCCCTTGAACAGAGACCACAGAGCAAGGCTGCACTTTGTATTTCTCAGAATAAGGCTGCCCTTATCAGTACTGTAGTTGTAGATTTTTCTTATCTTTTACTATTCCAAACAAAGTCACAAGCCAATTTTTAGCTTTTTACACGAATTCAAACCAATTAAAGTAAGAGTTGCACTTCAATTAACAATGTTTTATACATGCTCCTTTCACACAACACTTTATTTAAAAAATAAATAAATATTTTATATAAATTTACTAATTTTAATTAATATTTTATAGATTCTTAAGATAGTAAAAGACAAAGAAAAAAAAATCTTGCTCCATTAGTAGGAAAGTTTTGGTGCTGGATGTTCCTCTGTTTTTTCAGAGATTTCTAAGCGCTTTGCAAGTGATGCAGAAATATCAACCATAATTGGACATGACTACATGAGCCAGTACTACTTTTAGGCATCTGATTGTGCCTGCGTTAATGAATGCTTCTTAAATTCATTCTTCTATCCTCTGTGATGTCTCTTTATTGAATACTTTTACGGATTTCAAAGGATGTCAGAGGTGATATACTTTCTCTCTTGGGTTTGCAGTTTTGTAGTTGAACCAAATTGTACATTTTATAACCATTAATGGTGCAGAAGACCAACCCATTAATGGAGCTCAGTACGCAGACTGCACATTAGTTTTCTATTTTCTTTTATATTCTTTGTATTGCTTCTCAGTTTGGGAACATGTTGCCGGGCATCTCGCAGAGAAGGCACACTGACTTGCCACCCCACACAATATTAGGTCATCAGAAAGATCCTTAAAATCAAGCTTAAGATTAATCGTTTGAAAATACCTACTCAGGTTGGTGCCTCCTTCCATGAGTCAATTATGAGAAATTTATAAATCTTAACATTTTCTTTCTACATTCTTTCACAAGAAATGAATCCTGTTTACAGTATGAAGCGAAACAGAAAAGAAGAGCTAATTTGATCAAATACAATTCAAGAACTTGCCTTTATTACTCCCTATTTATTGTTACAGAATGAAGACAATGAAATAGCTTTCTACTGGAACTTACATTGACAAGTTGGTTCCAAGAAGAAAAAGCAATCCGAAGTAGAATGTAAGAAACTGAATGGGACAAATAACAGGTTGCCCATGCACATATATAAAGTATCTTTCTAAACACTTCACAACCTTTATATTCAGCTTTCCAAAACTGATTCTAGTAATTTTTGAACTTTATTGCCCTCTAGTAGAGTGGAGTCCATATCAGCTTCGCGATATGGTTCACTTGAGCTTTATGTAGCATTAATGAAAAATACTTAGACTTTGAGAAGTGAAATATGTACTGAAGTTGGTCAGACCGGAGACTTAACTTGCTGTGGTTCTTTTGACCAAAGAAATTCCTGTTGGATTGCCACCCCATTCTTCAAACACAACCATGAGATTTCCACCTGGATTCAGCCAAGAACGGGGAACATGGTACCTGAAAGCAACCACTTAACTATGAAGATCTCAATTGGATTGACAACTGACACCAGAAACAAGAATGCTTAGTTTCTCACCATTTTTGAGAAGGCTCCCCACAGTTGGTCCTGCATTTCTTGTCATCATAGGTTCCAGCATAGTTACAAGCACCACAATTACCATGCGCTATATATCCTGGCCAATGGCGTCCAATGCTTTGTCCATTTATCCATATTTGACCTTTTCCCATGCTACTCATATCTAAGGCCAATGGGTCATTTCCTTGTGGTGCACTAAAGGTTGTCTGGAAATAAAATACTAAAATTTTTTAAAATTTGTTTACTTTACATTGCTCTATAAATCAGAACACAATTGACTAAGCATTCAAATTATTCTCACCTTATACCATGTCAAAGGTTGTTTATGTGCCAATAGTGACCCTTCCACCCACTCAACAGATGAGCTTCCACTAACCGTATGAAGGTTCAAAGCTTCGCCTTTGAGACCAATCTGTTGAGGACCAAGTCAATATGGTGTGTTAGTACAAAGATGCTAGCAACTAAATATGTAGCTGCAACAAAATGCTTGAAAAGTCCAGGATTTTTGGCAGACAACAAAATTTATTCAGCAACTATTAAAAATTTAGTTTAAGAACATTTGTTATTACTGTGAAGCATTTGGGTCAATTTTAGCATGTAGTAAGAAAACAAACCTTGTAAGACCATTTCTGTCCAGATAAGTCTCTTGTCCCCTCATTCAAGCCCTTCAATGTTACAGGGCCTAGAACACCAGCATTCCATTTCTCATAATGAGTGCCAACATTCTGAAATAGATAAGATTTCACAAAACAGTCATAAAAAGTCTTTCTCCCACCACAAAAAGGCTGGGATAAACCCCAGCCTTGAAAGTAAGAGAACTAACCGGGAGTCCCACTGCAATGCTTAACAAAGACAGCTTGTTAATGCCAGCTCTCAGCTTGATATTTTGGTTAAATGTCAATTTTGGATTTTCCAATCCACCATACACAGTTCCTGAAATGAGAAAAGGAATTCAAGATGAGTTGGTGTAACAGAATGGGAAGCCATTTAATTCTTGAAAGAAACGAGGATAAAAATGTTAGAAAATTGGCTTCACCTGATAGTTGACCATTAATGAAAACATGTAAAGCATGACCTGCTGACCAAATGGAAAGCTGAGGATCTTGTCCACTCTTCAGGAAGGCTTCATTAGGACTTATATTTACACTGACAAACAAAAATGTGTAGTTTTAATGAGATTATGAAAATTGTTGTTATTTTCTTTGTACTAAATTTGTCAAACAACATATGACCATGATTAACATTTAACAATGATTACTCACTCTGTCATGTACCACAAGTAGTCTGTAGTATCTCTGGTGACATTTGTCTGTTCCCACAGCCCATGATTTGCAAAGGTGCCATCATCATCTGCAGAGGGGCTGTCTTCATTGTATGACTGCCAAGAAAATGCACTATTAACAGGTATCATCTTCTTCTGTGAGCTTTGGGCACCAACCTGTCCAGAAATTATAATTAGATGTTAAATCATTAGGGAACTGGATATGGTATCAACTAAACATCCTCACTCTAGCAAAGTCTTCATACCCTGGCAGTATTGAAAACTGCAGTTTTGCAGTCAGGAAGAACGCTGATGGACCAGGGTGGTAGGTCATATTGCTTATTACCAAACGTAACTTTTGCTGGGGATTTTGTGTCATAGTTTGCAAGGAATGCTGCACATGCCCCTGAGTTCGACTTGAAAACATGAGCCTGGAATAACAATAACAATGAGAAGAGTGAGAACAACAATGAGAAAAAAATGGCATGAGTACATGTATATAATTCTCCTACCCCTAGCAGAAAAGCAGAGAGGCAGAACAGCCTTACCTCTTGGCTGTTTCCAAGTGATTTAACAGTAGGATCAGCAGAAACTAAAGCTGATTCACATGATTTAATGGCTTTATGCAAGTCTCTTAAATGTCCATACTTTGGTTCCCTTACTAGCCCTGTCATAAAATCAGAAAAGCCATTTAGACCATTGAAAATTATTATATTTTTGCACACATTAAGGATCTCCTATTAATTAATGGTGTTCTCCCTTTGACAATGGGTTTCAATGGCAATGTTGTTTCTTTCTATCCCTTTGACATTGGATTTACATACCATATTCATCAATAGGAGCATCATAGTCATAGCTGGTAGCAATGAAGCCGCCAGCAGTCCGTCCAAAATTGGTTCCTCCATGGTACTGAAGTAAAAGAAATAAGTGGATAAATTAGTTAGTTCTTTTCATTCTCCATCATTATATATAGAGAGGACCATAATTTGCATGTAAAAAAGTAATTAATGATTAATTTACCATGTAATAATTAACAAATGAACCACCATTCTGTATGAATCTTGCAACTGAAAATGCCAAATCCTCTGCTGGTCTATTAGGAGTGGCACCTCCAAATTCCGTATACCTTTTGTTGGGATTAAACAAAGGAATGACCAAACAAACCATTAATCTTATAGAAGAGATCCCAGTAAAACAAAATAGTAACTACTCAGAAACAACCAGATGACCTATTTTGAGGTGACTGGTGAAATGGTAAAAGCCCCAAACTTTGGACAGGAATATCTGTTTGGATGGCCAGAAAACAAAAAGGGGGGGGGGGGGGGAGGAGGGATGGATAGGAATGCATTGGATAATATAGGCAAAATTTGTGTGACTCACCAGCCTGTCCAGTTTTCTGTCCACATTTTTGGTTTGTATTTCTGATTTGGTTTGAAGTTTTCACAGTACCAGCCATTGCAGGTATTTATCTGTCACAGATCAAAACAAGAGAAGTCAAAAAAGAGAAAGACAAAATCATATACAGATACATAATTCACTGCGATGGTAGATTCTATGAAGCTGAAGGTAATCATGTCAGAAAGAGACATTCCAATTTTTTATATTATGACAGAGTTTCTAGAAAAAGACAGAAGAGTTAGAAAATGATGGCCGAGAAAGCAAGAACCCGTGAATCTGAAATTGAAGAAGAGGTAGATAAAAAAATGAACAATGAAAACAGAAAAGCATGCGAAATAAGAGTCTACAATTGAAGGCTACCTGAACCAAGGAAAAAAGGCCAAATTCTAAAATGAGAGGCACAAGAACAAACTGCGGATGCAATGCATAAAGGAAA